GTAGGCAGCACAACAGAATCCTGATCCACAGAAGAATGTCTCTCTTCCCAGGATGTCCCTGGATATACTGGCAGCAGGCCACACCCCTAGGGAAACTCCCCTTCAACAGATTGGCCACTCAGAACAGTCATCCAGTCCCATCACAACCACACAGAACTGAGGTCCAGCTAAGTTGACACAGCTCCAACTATCACAGGTAGTTTCACATCTGTCAAAAAAAGGTGGATGATTTTAACACACAGGGTTCAGCTGCTGGAAATATAGGAAATAAACACATCACCAAACTTTAAAATAAACAGAACCAACCCAAACTAAACCCAACACCATCAAGTCAATTCTGACTCATAGAGACCCTATAGCACAGACTAGAAGTGTCCCATAAGGTTTCCAAGGCTGTAAATCTTTATAGAAGCAGACAGCCACATCTTTCTCCTTCAGAGTGGCTGGTGGGTTTGAACTGCCAACCTTCTGATTAGCAGTCAGATGCTTCAGCCAATGCACCATGAGAGCTCCTTCCTACTCAAGAAAGTAATGATGAAATGTTAATGCTGCAGATCAGGCTTAGCACATCATGTTGATAGTAGGTGACTTGGTTCTCTAGTGCTGCTTAAACAGAAATACCACAAATGGATGGCTTTAACAAAAAAATATTTATTCTCTTACAGTTAAGGAGGCTAGAAGTCCGAATTCAGAATGCCAGCTCTAGAGGCTGGGTGAAGATCTTTTTGACCTTGAGCTTCAGCTCTGCCTCTTATTCCAGTCCAGCTAGAGCTGAAGGCTTCTTCTAACTCATGCAGCTGTTGGCTGCTGAGGCTGCTGAACCCAAGATCAGCAGGTAAAATGACCCAATCCTAAGATCAGCAGGCCACCTGGCAAGCCATTGCTTCAAGTCCAGGAACAATCTCAAGATTGGCAGGCAACACAGCAGGCCACTAGTTCAAATCCGGGAACCAGAGATAAAGACTCAGCCAAATGCAGGATCAAAAATGTGCCAAAAAGCTAGAGACCTTCTTAAAGCTTCTCCAGCTTTAAGTGGAAGCGGGCCACACTCTGAAGGCAAGTAATTAGCTGTTCACAGCAGATTCCACCATGGAGGTGATTACAATCTCATCATAGGGAATAACTATATCCAGCTGCCAACCCACTCAAAACCATGGACCAGCCAAGTTGACAAACAACTTTACCACAGTAGGCTAATAGCAGTTAAATTTGGGGGGAGTCCAAAGTTATTCATGGATTTTCAACTGCATGGAGCATTTGGTGGCCCTAACCCCTGCGTTGTCCAAGGACCAACTGTATATGCTAAGCAAATAATCAGAAAAGCTGGATTACATGAAGAATGTGGCATCAGGATTGTAAGGAAGATTCATGAACAACCTGTGATATGCAGATGACACAACCTTGCTTGCTGAAAGTGAAGAGAACTTGAAGCCCTTACTGGTGAAGGTTGAAGACTACAGCCTGTAGTATGGATTACACCTCAACATAAGGAAAACAAAAATCCTCACAACTGGACCAATGAGCAACATCATCATAAACGAAGAAAAGACTGAAGTTGTCAAGAATTTCATTTTACTTGGATCCACAACCAACACCCATGGAAGCAGCAGTCAAGAAATCAAACGATGTATTTCATTGGGCAATTCTGCTGCAAAAGGCCTCTTTAAAGTGTTCAAAAACAAAGATAACACTTTGAGGACTAAGGTGCACCTAATCCAAGTCACGGTCCTTTCAATTGCATCATATGCATGAGAAAGCTGGACAATGAATAAGACCAAAGAACTGATGCATTTGTATTATGGTGTTGGTGAAGAATACTGAATATACCATGGACTGCCAGAAGAACAAACACTTCTTCCTTGGAAGACGTACAGCTTGAACACTCCTTAGAAGCAATGATGGCAAGACTTATGTGATGTCTTACATAATTTGGACATGTTATTAGGGGGGACCAGTCCCCGGAGAAGGACATCATGCTTGGTAGAGGGTCAGCAAAAAAGAAAAAGACCCTCAATGAGATGGACTGATGCAGAGGCTACGACAATGGGCTCAAACAGCAACAACTGTGAAAATGGTGGACTGGACAGTGTTTTGTCCTGTTGTACACAGGGTCACTGAGTTGGAAGCGACTCTACAGTACCTAACAATAACAAGAACTAATCAGAATCACCTGACAAACCAACAGTTTTTTTATTGAGGAAAATTCATCAACATTCATGTTAGAACTATACTCTAACGTCAATGACCATGAGATAAATGGGATAGTAATCAAGTATTTGTTTAGTCTGGTTTTTGTGACACTATTGTTAGTGAGGGAGCTCTGGTAGCATAGTGCCTAAAGCACTTGACTGCTAACCAGAAGGCTGGCGGTTCAAACCCACCAGCCACTCCTCGGAAGGAAGGTTGGGCAATCCTACTTCCGTAGTGATACTGCCTTGGAAACCCAAGGAGGGGTCGCTATGAGTCGGGGCCGACTCCACGGCACATAACAACAACAACATTGTTAGTGATAGGATAATAAAAACTCACAGTGGATTTTGCCAGTCACATTGAAGTTACAGATGCACGGAATTTACCATAAAGAGTATTTTATTACTATTTGTGAATCGTGTGCTATGCATTTTTTTTGTCGGTAAAATTTATTATAATAAACTTTGTACCTACTCATACATTTTTTCCGTAAAGCCTGCTGTTAACTACTGTGAACTGGCAGTCCTGCCCTATCGCATTAGCTAGGGTGAGGCCCGGCCACCTCCGTGGGACAATGCAAGGAGGCGAGGCTGGATCCATCGCTAAAGACCTTTCCCAGAACTACCGCCTGAGGGCGCGCGCGGCAGCAGAGCGCAGCTTCGCGCTTTGTCTTCTCGCGCGGCCGACGCAGCGGCGGGAAAATCTGACTGGGCCATCCCGGCCTCCACCTCTCTCTGCCCTGGTTGGGCCGCTGTGATGGAGGATGAGGCGGCTGAGGAGCAGCAGCAATTTTCTTACCAACAGGTACAGGAAAACGGGATGCCGGCTAGGCTGAGAAAGGGCGGCGTCGAGTTCCTAGAAAGCAAAAAACCAGCGGTCTCGACCTCGGTGTCTCCGGGGTGGTGGGTGCGCACTTTCTCCAAGGCTGGGCCGCCCTGTGCGCCTGCGCCAACTAGGGTGCCGCGGGTGGTGTTGGGAGGTGGTTTTCCGGGTAACGTGGGACGGAGCCGGGGCAGCTGCGGAGCTGGGAGCGAGGCGGGTGGTTTTAGGGTCCCAAGGTGGGACCTACGCCGCGGCGTAACTCCCCAGGCCGAGGAGAGACCGCTAGTGAAGCGGTTGAGCTTTTAGCTTAGTGTATCCGAGCACCTGCGGCGTGCTTGGAGGGTGTTAAGTGCAAGACACACCTGTGTCATTCCACGCAACAGCCGGAGGATTCCAGGGACTCGGCGGAGCCACTTTGTAACTTTGTGATTCTCAGTCTCCCCTCCTGTGAAATGGAGATAGTGGTGAGGGTGGAGTGTGATCTTTGAAAGAGAAAAATCTATGTCAAAGCACTGAATACGGTGCTTACTCCGGGACAGAAACTGAAATTCTGGCTACTGTGCCTTTTGTGGGAGCTCTTGTGGCGTAGTGCCTACGGCATTCGACTGCTAGCCGGAAGGCTGGCGGTTCAAACCCACCAGCCACTCCTGGGAAGGAAGTTTGGGCAATCTGCTTCCGTGGAGATACCGCCTCGGCAACCCAAGGAAGGGTTGCATGAGTCGGATCTGACCACGGCAGTGAGTTTGGTTTGGTTTTGATGCCTTTTGTGCCGTCCATTTTACAAATGGGGAGTCTGAGCCACAGAGAGGTGGTTTGGGAGCTGGATTCCAACCCAGCACTCTGGCTCCAGAGCCCATAGTTCAGATCTAGGTTCAAACAAATTTACTGGTTGGGTTGCCTCTGGCCAAAACTCAATTTTCTTATGTGTAAAAATATAATAATAACCACTTCTCAGGTTATTTGTGGGTTTTCGGTTATTCCTTTATTCAACACCGGGAACGCAGTCATGAGAACACAATGACAGTGCTGTTAGAGAGGTTTAAGGCAAGCGGTGGCACCTTCAAAGGGTTAACTGAAGAAACGTGCCAATGAGCTCACTACATGTCCTCTCTCTCTCCTTTTTTTTTTTTTTTTTTTGAAACGTTCTTACCTTCAGAAAAGGTTGGAGAATAGTGCTCTGAGCATCACTTGGCCCCTCTCCGCGATTCCCCAATTAACGTTTTCCTGTATTGCTCCCTTGCTTTCCCTCACCCCAGTCATCTGAGAATTAATTACATATTCCTTGATACTTCACCTTTAAACTTTAATACTTAAGTATGCATCTTCGAAGAACAAAGGCATTCTCCTACATAATCTCAATAAATTATTATATTTAGGAAGTGTAATACTGACAAAGGGGCTTTGGTGGTACAGTATGTAAAGCATTTGGCTGCTAACCAGAAGGTTGGCAGTTCAAACCCTCCAGTTGCTCCGAGGAAGGAAGATTAGACAATCTACTTCTGTGAAGATTTACAGCCATGGAGACCCTGTGGGAGTCGTTATGAGTCAGAATCAACTCTATGGCAGTGAGTTTGGTTTTGATTTTGGAATACTGATAAAGTCCTACAATCCAGTGTACAGTCCATATTGAAATTTCCCCAGTTCCAAATGTTTCTTTTAGTCATCTCTTTTTTTAATCCAAAATCATGCATTGCATTTAGTAATCCTGTCCCTTCAGTCTTTTCTGGGACAGTTCTCCACCTTCTCTCCTGTCTTTCATTATTGATGGTTTTGAAGTGTCGATGAGTGCAATGGGAGACTAACTCCCTGAGAGTTGGGCTGGCTTTTTCATTTTTTGTATTCTCAGCCTCCAGTGAGGAATCTGGCTCCCAATAGACACTGAATAAATTCTCCCTGATTAACTAATCAAGAATTATTTATTGCAAAGATGAGCTGATGCTTGTGATTTTTCAGGATTAAGTCCAGGCAAAGAAATTTGAACCTCATTCTGTATTCAGTGGTGAGCAGGTAGATTTCCCTATATAGTCAACCAGCTGTTCTGGGCACTGGTGAGGAAAACCGACAGGGTTCTGCCATTGAGTTTTAAGTCTAGTGATAATTTAGCCACTAAGTGCAGTGATGTGTGCAGCATCACAGAAAGTGCCTAGCCCAGCCCCAAGTGGGGAGGGAGGAGGGACAGAGAAAGCTTCCTGGGGCCATGAGCATTCATAAGGATCCATGTCCTGTGCCCCTTCTCTATGTTGTTATGTGCCATCGAGTCGGACCTGACTCATAGCGACCCCTCCTTGGGTTTCCGAGGCAGTAGCACTACGGAAGTAGACTGCTCCATCTTCCTTCCGAGGAGTGGCTGGTGGGTTTGAACCACCAACCTTCTGGTTAGCAATCAAGTGCCTTAGGCACCACACTACCAGAGCTCCTCCTCTTCTCTATACATACCTGAAAAAGAGCATGACCTTGGAGGATCTTCATCCCTTCCAGCTTGATGATCCCTCTAGTCCTTCCTACCAAAGGTCTCAACCTACCTAGTCTCTGGACTTGCAAAACTAGGGAAGGTGTCCCTGGCCTCTACTCCAGGGTCCTGGACTGGGGTTTTTGCAGCTCTTCCTCATCTTGCCTGTGCTGTGAACACTTACTGGTAGATTGCATGCTATCGTGAGTTCATCTGTCACCGTGTCCCACATACAGACAGGGATTCAACAAAACTCTGTTGACACAAGACCACTGCTGAGCTTGTTTAGCATCTGTCTTGAGGTTCTTCCTCCCCCCTCTCTGGGGGAAGAAAGCTGTTTTCCATGATCTGAAAGGGTTGCTAAGCAGAAGTGAGGGTTCTGCTGAGGTTGGCTAACAAACCTCCAAATCAAAGGAGGGTCACAACACACTCATGAGCCTTTCCAGGTGTTGTCTTGGTCTGTTGTCCTTTGTGACATGTAGGCCTGTGGCTTGCTTGACCTTGCGGTAGAGGGGTGGAATCCTTTTGCATTTACTTGATGATCTGCCTTGAGGGTGAACTCCCAGACTGGTTTTTTCATTTTTCCCCCAAGCACCTAGCATGTACCTTTTACTCAGTAAGAATTCTGCGCATCTTTGCACAGTAACTGAGTCAAGGGAAGCCCATCTTTGCAGGTACCAGTCCGTCTTCTCTCTCCACTGGCCTGCCACCGTCATCCCTTATCTTTTACCTGACCTAAATCATAGCCATTAACTCTGAAGAGTGTTTCTACAAGTCCAGAGGGTCTCATTAATTTATTAGCGCACTTGAAAAGGCACTCGGCCATTATGGCAAGTGCTGAAGGAATGCGGCTGAGCAGACCCCTCCTTGCTCTTAATTTTTTAAGACGTGAAAAGCTCTTATTTGCAACTTTATGCTATGAAATTATTTTGATTTTTCTCCCCCTCAGAGACTAAAGGCAGCAGTCCACTACACCGTTGGTCGTCTTTGTGAGGAGGTGGCATTAGACAAAGATATGCAGTTCAGCAAACCAACCATTGCAGCGATTTCGGAGGTGACCTTTCGGCAGTGTGGTATGTAGCCACAGTCCCTGTATAGAGAGAGAAAAGTCCTGAATGAAGTCCGCAAGGTGAATTTTGCCTGGAAGAAATGTGTGGGTGGCTGCTGTGGCGTGTACTCCCAAGAGGCAAAGAACATTCTCATCATAAACTATTCAGGAAACTTATTTCTTTTTCTGGAAGTAAGATTTGGATATATTAATGGAACAAAAAACAAACCCACTGCCAGTGAGTGGATTCCAACTCATAGCCACCCTACAGGACAGAGTAGAACAGCCCCGTAGGGTTTCCAAGATTTGAAATCTTTACAAAAGCAGACTACAGAGAGGCTGGTGGGTTCAAACTGCTGATCTTTTGGTTGGGAGCCGAGTACTTTAACCACTGTGTCACAGAGTGCTTTTATATTATGAAAAGAACTACATATTTTTTTTCTGTTATATTAACACTAGAGGAGTCCCTGAGTGGCATAAACAGTTAAACACATGACTAATAACTGAAAGGTTGGCAGTTCAACCAACTCCAAGGTGCCTGGGAAGACAGCCCTGGTGATCTGCTTTCAAAAGGTTACAGCCTTGAAAACTCTATGGAGCATTTCTACTCTGCACAGTTAGCAGCTCGTTGCTATGAGTCGGAATCAACAACGGCAGCTAACAGCAACATGCTAACCTTGGGACATCAACTGCCCTGATGCCTGGAACGTTGTTGTTGCTGTTAAGTGCCTTCAAGCCAGATCCAACTCATAGCAACCCCTCCTTGGGTTCCTGAGGTGATATCACTAGCAAGTAGATTGCCCAACCTTCCTTCTGAGGAGTGGCTAGTGGGTTTGAATCGCCAGCCATCTGGTTAGCAGTCAAGTGCCTTAGGCACTATGCTACCAGAGCTCCCGCCTGGAACATTAGGCATGACAATTTTTATTTCAGTGCTTATAACGTTTTTTATACTACCCAGAGTTTATTTGATAGCTGGACTTGTGGCATTGGTATTTGCTTGATTGCAGAGGAAATTAATGTCCTCACAAGCCCTAACTTGTAGCAAAAATTAAAGGATAGTTTCTAGGAAATGGTGTGGCCACAATGAGCAGAAGCCTTGTAGGAAAGAAAAACAGACCCCAGTTTAGATGCCATTGCTGCTCGGCCTAGAAGGTGCAGGGAAGGACCAGGCAGTCATAATGAATAAAATGGCTAAGAAACCAAAAACCAAACCCATAGCCAATAAGTGCATTCTGATTCATAGCAACCCTGTAGAACACTGTAGAACTGCTCCCAGAGGGTTTCTTGGGCTGGAGTCTCTACGGGTGCAGAGTGCCACATCTTTCTCTGGTAGGTTTGAACTGCTGACCATTCAGTTAGCAGACCAGTGCTTAACCACTCCCCACCAGGGCTCCTTGAAAATGGCTACAAGCGGTTATAAAATGAGCTGGCTGCTCTCATCTTTAAAAGGCTTGTTGTATTAGTCACTGTACTTAACTGTAGAGTAGAGATTTCATTTTTCATCTTTGTGGAACAAGATTGAGGTGGTGGTAGCTAAAGTGTATCTCTTTCTCTTTCAGAAAATTTTGCGAAAGACCTCGAAATGTTTGCCAGGTGGGTAGAGGCCTTGATCATCTGATGTGGTGTTTGTTTACCTTCCATTGATAGTCTCCATCTGGTGGTATATTTCAGGAGTGCTTTAGTGGTTCAATTTTTGGTATTTGTGGAGGCTAGTGTCTAATTGTGATGCTGCAGGAATGTAATGCCTGCTTCAATCATGTCAATTCAGACTTGATTTAGCTTTTTTTTTTTTTCTTTTTGAAGTTTTCTGAGTATTTTCTGCTAGAGAACAGAAGTTACTCAGTTCTAGATGAAACAGATAATGAATAGTGTCTTCAGGACTCTGAATGTGTGTGGTGTGCACATTTTAAAAACGTTTTCTGTGGGGTGGTGTGAGGCTTTGTAGGAAGGAAAAGAGCAGGGGACAAAAGGCAATTGCCCCGGGTCTGCGAACACTGCTGTCGGGGTCTTTCTGCCTCTGTGGCGGTGGGAGGCCATTGTGTTGGCACATGTAATTGCTCACAGGTGTACAGATAATGACAGCACTGTCTACAGACAGAGGCTTTCATTTGCCACATTTGTTACGAGTAAGACACACTCCTTGAAAGTGGGCGACTTGCTCTCAGCTGGCGGGCTTTAGCTTTTACAGGTGATTTATGCTCATCTCTTCAATTAGCACCTTAGGTAATTGAAAACAGTTGCAACAAATTGCTTTTATGAAGCAATTTGAATGACTAAGGCCTGAAAGGGCTAAAGCTTTCTAATTTGCTACCACTTCTGATTTGGTGCCAGCTTCTCCCATACCCCATACTTTTCACCTTGCTTCTGTTAGCTCTTTGTTTCTCGGATGAATATTTTGAATGAATTAAAGCAGTAGGTTCTCAGAGGGCAGGCTTTAAATCTTTCCTATCCCTGTATAGCTTAGTGCCTGAGAAACCGCTTAGTATCTTCAACTTGGCCAAGAGGGATGAGATAGTGTTACGTGATAGTGATGGGGCCTGTGGTTTGTTCCTTGTTAACCTGTGGGTGGCCCATCGTCTCCCCATTGTTCATTGTTAACCTGTGGGTGGCCCACCGTCTCCCGATAAAGACATTACTTCCCCTCACTTGCCATTTCTATGTTAGCCGTGGAAAAAGACGATGAAATTTTAAAGATATTTTTCTAAAAATTCTAAAAATAAAAGTGAAATTAGAAATGTTCAGTGTTGTAATCTATTAAGCTTTCAGATACTCTGTATTTTATAATAACGTTCGAAGATTGCTGTGTATTAGGGGGAACAGGGGTATGTGTGCCTTTCCTAGATGGCAAGCTCTACAAAGAAGGAACTTGGCTTTAAAGTAAAGACATGAACTGCATGGTGGGCATTTAACTAGTTACTGAAGCTACAAAGATGAACTGTTGCCACTTGTTTGTTGGGAAGTTGGAAATGGGAAGAAAGAGTGCAATTCAGAATGATCAAGTATTGAATTGAGCCTGTTATCTCAAATTACCTTTGAAAGCAAAGATTAGAGGACTGGAATGAGAATTTGAGTCCCTGTTTACACACAAGAAACAGACCGCAGTTTAGATGCCATTCCTGCTCTGCCTAGGATATAGTTGAGGAAACATACTGACTCCTCTTTGGGGAGTGGGATATTGGCCTTTTTCTGTATAAGCTTTTTTCTGTAATTTAGTCCTTGGAGAAGAGCCTCAGGAACTCGGTAAATATGCTTCATGGAAATTCTCTTTGTACTTTTTCACATTTGCTTAAACACAGGCGATCTTTGTATCGTGGGACTGTCCATTTTCTCTTTAAAGTTGTACAGTCACCACCTTCTTGCTTTTTCTGTGTTGTTCACTGTGACCAAGCAGTCGCTTTTGGAAGAGTTGAAGTGGGCAGGCCCCCTTGGCCCGAGGCAGACAGACGGGCTTCTGCTTTGTCTCTATACTCAATCAGTATTTCGGCTAGTAACTCCCTCCCTATTCTACCACTGTTGCTTAATGACCTTAAAATAGAAAGATGGGCTCTCAGCGAGCATTGCTTTTTTGAAGTCTGACCATGGACTCTTGTGTTTCATCAAAACTTTAAATAATATCAAACATTTTGGTGAATTGTTTCTGCCCTTTCTGCAGACATGCAAAAAGAAGTACAATTAACACCGAGGATGTGAAGCTCTTAGCAAGGAGGAGCAGTTCGCTGGTGAGAGATGAGTTTCTTCCCTCACTCCCCTTTCCCATCAGAATACATTATTCCCAATTAATCACGGGGAGCCATGAAGCGATCCTCCAGGGCACCTTGCATTAAAAACTAGAGGTGGTTGGACCATTCAGACCTGCCTGTAATTTATAGCGTTTCTTTCATTATGATGGATCTTGCTAAGCCAATTTGAAATTTTCTAATCAGCACTCTCTAGATCTCATAATTTGCCGTGTTTGTAATATCTCCAAACTTCGGTCCCACGTTTCATTGACAGCATGATGTCAGAGACAAGGGCACAGGCTAGAATCTGTGGGACGAGTTTGGTTCTGGTCTCTACCATTCTCCTTACAGGCCAGATGTGGAAGGAGTGTCTGTGTGGCTGGATGGGCAGGAAAGTGAGCACATCTTCTGTGTTTCCCAAGAAGTCTGTAGTTAGAAAGGAACTTAGAAATTATCTTGACCGAGCCCTCCTTGTACAGGTGAGGACACTGGCACCAGGACGCCTGTGAGGCTGCCCGACTGGTCTCATGCTCATAGTTAAGCTAGTTCACGCTGCTTCCTGCAATGTGAGGTCCAGAAGGCAGGGATTTTTGTCTCTTAGTTCTCTGTTCCTTCTTCAGTGCCTGTCATAGAGTACCTAGGTGCTCGGTAAATGCTTGTTGAATGAGTGACTTAGTATATAGCACTTTTCAGTTTACAGGAAACTTTTATGTGTATTTCTACATTTCACAATCATACTATGAGGGTCTGTTAGTTTCCTAGGGCTGCCTAGGAAAAATAACCACAAACTGGGTATCCTAAAATAACAGAAATTTATTCTCTCACAGTTCTGGAGGCTAGAAGTCCAAAATCAAGTTGTGGGCAGGGCGGGCTCCCCCTGAAGGCTCTAGAGGAAGGATCTGTCCTTGCCTTTTCCGGCTTCTGGTGGTCCCAGTGTGTGGTTTGTGGCTGCATTATCTCCAATTTCTGCTTTTCTCTCCAGTCTTCAGTCTTTACATGGCATTTCCCCTGTGTGTTTGTGTCTGTTCTCTTCTAAGGACACCAGTCATACTGGATTTAGGGCTCACCGTGCTCCAATATGACCTCATCTCAACTCATTACATCTGTAGCAACTCTATTTCTAAATAAGGCCACATTCTGATGTTCTAGGTGGACACTAGTCGGGGGGCGGGGAGGCATGAGTCAACCCAGTAGCACACAAGGTTATTAATAATACAGCTTATTAGCCCCATTTTACAGACTAGACAGCTGAACTTCAGTAACTTCCAAGTCGGATATGAAGCTTTCTGGGTGAGCTGATAGTTGAACCTTCACCTTCTGACCCTGAGTCTAGTGCTGTTTCCATTGCACTGTCCTCACCCTCTGCTCTTCGCATATTGTTTCTCCAGAGTGTGAAGTCAAGGTCAAGGATGATGTGATTCCTAAGTCAAATAGCCAAGGTGCTTGGTTGTCCTGTGTATCACTGCAAAAGACATCTTTCTCCATAAATTCTGTGTGGTGTCCTAACTTACTTGGTCTGCTTCAGGGAGCAGTTTCTAAGAATATTCATTCAAAGGAAAGTCATCTTACAATATCAATTGGAAAGTCATGTGCTTATTGCATATTTGTTGACTTTAGAATATTGTTTTATTTTGAACTCTTAATTTTTCATCTGACACAACCTCATTACCAAAGAGTTACAGCTAAATCTGTGCTTTTGACTAAATCATCATGAGGCCAGGGCCGTGTCTTATTTAAGGTGTATTCCCAGGGTCTGGTACATCGTAATTGCTCAATAGATATTAGCTGAATAAGTTTAGGGGGAGGGACTGTGTCTACTTTGTAGAACATTTATGATTGAGATGCTTATACAAGCTCCAAGTTTTAATTCCTTTGATTGTCAAGGAGCTCCTACATTGGAGGATACTGCTTGGAAGACATATGAATAGTAATGAGTTGATTGTTATAGTTGAGTCTTTTTTCCAGAAAAATATTGAAGTTGTATTTACATTTAAGAAATTTAACCCAAGTTTTCCACCCAAATTCTTTAGGTAGGAATGGTTGGGAAGGTATAGGTTTTATTTTTTATACTAATGAAAATTTTTACAACCAGCTACAAATACAGTTCTTTAATTTTTTCCGTTTTTTGTTTTTTCCGGTAGCTAAAATACATCACAGAGAAAAATGAAGAGATTGCTCAGTTTAACCTAGAACAAAAAGCAAAGAAGAAAAAGAAGGCTGAGAATGGAAACAGAGATTTGAGGGAGCTGGCAGAGGCAGAAGTGGAGAAAAGTGACAATTAGACTTACCGCCATTTGGAAAGCAGTGTTCAGCAGGTCGAGCCACCCAGAAATGCATATTGTCACAAAAGGAGTTTGGAGTTCTAAGTGGAGATTAGGGGAAAAAAATCCCAGGAAGCTTTTTGTCCTGTGTTCTTGAAGTCACTTCAAAAGCTAATCAAAAAGAAAACTGGAAGCTCTTAATCTTTTTATGACCCAGTTATTTTTGGCTTTAATTTTTTTGTTGATACTTTGTGTTTTCATTAATGGAAGGCTGCTGAATTAAAGAGCATTTCTGAAATTTTGTTATGAAATAATAGATATTATTATGTGGGACACATGATCCTCTGGAATTGGGGATGTTGGGGGGAAATAAGATTAGTGGGACACATATGTCCCTCTGTACTCTGTTTAGTATTATATGAGACACTACTCTGGACTCGGGATAAAATTATGTGGGACACATATCTCCCTCTGGATTCAGAGGTGTAGGATTAGTGGGATATATGTCCCTCTGAGTTTGCATCACTTTCTAGATCCCTTGACAGGTACGTACAATTTAGTGGCCTGACAGTGAAGTACTTGTGCAAACATGGAATCATTGCAACAAAGGCAACTTCCAGATTACACACAGGAACCCGAAAATACACTTACAAGGCTTATCTCCCAGTAAAAAAAGCCAAAATAGACGAAAGTTTTACAACATCACACCTTCAGGATGCATCACCTCATGCAGTACCCTGTGAGAACAGTAATTTGCAGCACATGCCAGTTTCTTGCATTTCAAACAGTTGTACAGGTCTCCTCCTGATGGCTGCAATGCATCGTTGGTGGAAAAGCAGCTGCCCAGTAAATCCCAGAGGTGGAAAATGTAGGTAGGTGCTGTATGTCCCGCAGGTCATGAAAGGATTAGACATGATACTCCCATGTCTTACTCAAGCACATTAAAAAAAATTGTTTTTGAATGGTATATGTTAGAAATGATACTGCAATTATGTTAGTGATTAAACATGGTCAACTTTTTAGAGCAAAAAAAAATTTACTTATTTTTTAATTTATGGGAGCCCCTGGTGGCATAGTGCCTAAAGCATTTGAGTGTTAACCAGAAGGCTGGCAGTTCAAACCCACCAGCCACTCCTCAGAAGGAAGATTGGGTAATCTACTTCTATAGAAATACTGCCTTGGAAACCCAAGGAGAGGTCACTATGAGAGTAACTGACTTGCAGGCAGTGAATTTGGTTTTTTTGGTTTTACATAATTTTCTAGGCTACATGGCAATTCCTGAAAGAAGATGAACAAAGCTATATTTATTTAGCTCTGCTGATGAACAGTACTGATGTTTTTAAGCCCATGTCACCTGTGATCACAGGTTAAAAGGTGGATGTTTGGAAACAGTCCTTTTTGCTTTTTGGAGATAATTTTCTCCAGTAACACATTGTGTGTGACATTTCTCTGGCTGTGGGTCTTCTGGGCAGAGGTAGAATCCAGGACTACTCTTCCAAAATACTTCAGAGTTTTGTCCTCTGTTTTTGTGAGAGATGCTTCCAAGAGCCCAGTTCTTCTCTTCTCTCTGGGGTTTCTTTTGAGGTCCAGGTGTGCCTTTTTCCTTAGGGGCATTTTGGGCAGAGAGAAGGGATGGGTTTGACAGAGTGTGCCAGGCACAGTGTGCTGGGGGAGCCCTGAAATCTCACGACTCTATCAGGGTAGATCTGATTATTCTCATGTTTTGACACGGCTAACCCAATGCTCAAGGTCACCAGACTAGATTAGTAGAGATGGTGTTCACCTTCAGGGGTGCTGACCCTAGAGTGGGTAAGAGAGAAAAGGGCAAGTATCTTGGATAGAATTTGTACTACTGATGCCCAATTATGATCAGTAAAAGACACTCCAAAGCCTGACTCTCAAAGCCATGGACGTAGGAAAGCACTCACTTCAACCTTTGTGACTTCCAGTTCTGCGCTAACCAACCATTTGATCTTAGATAACATCTGTGTGTCACATCAGTGAAAGGAAAGCAAATCACAAAGCCTTCCATCCTTATTTCACCCATAGAACTGTATGTGAGGAGTTTGATTTTTGGATAAGCTGTCTAAATTCCTCATCAAAAAGAGTTGATGGAATAGATACCAGTGGATTTTCCAAAGGCCAGATGGGTCTAGTTTTGCAGTTCTAGGGAGCTCTGGTGGTGCAGTTAAAGCATTTGGCTGCTAACCAAAAGGTCGGTAGTTTGAACCAACCAGTTGCTCTGTGGGAGAAAGATGTAGAATTGGCTTCCATAAAGATTCACAGCCTTGTAAACCCTATGGGCCAGTTCTATTCTGTCCTTTAGGGTGGATATGAGTTAAAATTGACTCAGTGGCAGTGGGTGAGCTTTGCAGTGCCGACTATGACTTTCTGGAACTGCTTTTATCAGTGAAATAGGGTTAAAAATACTTCCTAGGGAGGCTGTATGTAACAAAGGAAATGGGTAGAAACCATTATAGCACCTTTTTTTTTAGATTTCTATAGCTTCCAGAACTCTTATCTGTATGGTTAGAAATGGTGAATCCGTGTGCATGGGCATCCTGACTCTTTGTTGGAGGGTTGTACAGGGCGCCACTGGTTGGCACAAGTATGCTGATGCAAGGTCTAACCAAATGAGAATACTGACTTGATGTCTTTTGATTTCTGCGTGCCCTGTTTGTATTTTAGACACAAAGTCTTATAACACATTTTTTGGGGGATTAAGACAGGTATGACCAACTTTGTAAGGAATCACTACTTCTGCCCCCAGTGTTCTCATGAGCCTCCTAATCCCACTATGCATTCCAATTAGAGGTTACTCTGGAATTGCCAGAATAACGTTGATCACCCTTAGCCTTTCTGTCTTTTGTAATGTTGAGCAGAGGTGCTTGAGAGGGTCCTTCTTAGTGAGCTTACTTCCTCAGAACCCTGGAAACTCATCTGACTCTCCACCAGACCCACAGCTGATTAACCATGTAAAGAAGGAGATGTCTTTGAAATACATGTGGAACTATATGCTAACATATAGTTTGGTGCAATTTACATTTAAACTTTTTTTTTTTTGTCTCAATTATACCAGTTCCTCAAAAAGCTTGAAATGAAAGATCCTGTGTTTTTTATTAGTGACATCAACTAGAGCCAGGGCAGTTTCAAAGTGTCCCCTTCTGCACCCAGCAGCAGCTGGAACACATTGGAGTTGCTCTGCATTGGCTTGTCTCTAGTTAATACCTTAAAACCCAAATGCCTAAGAAAGGTTAGGGAGGGCATGCTTATTCTTTTTACTAAATGACAGACTCTATAAAGAGCCTTGAGAGGTCATTTAGCCCAACCTCAGCAACATAGGAACCCCTTCAACATTCCTGACATCCGGTTCCCCAGGCTCTGTTGAACTCCAGGTACAGAGAGCTCGTTACCACACCAGGGACAGAGTGACCTCTCCATTCGTCACTGTTACCAGGTTCTTCCATATACAGAGAAAAATCTTCCATCTTCCAATGTCTGTCTAGGTCGTAGTTAGATCCTTGAAAACAGGCAATCTGTTTTCCTGGGTGGTGCAAACAGTTAACACTGTTGGCTGTTAACTGAAAAGTTGGAGGTTTGCGTCCACAAAGAGGCATGTTGGAAGAAAAGCCTGGCAGCGTACTGGGAACAATCGGCCATGGAAAACCCTGCGGAGCTGGATCTACTCTGACATCCATGGTGGCACGGGGTCAGCTGACGGCACCTGGCGTGGTGGTGGTGGGTGAGAAGAATCCATTACCAAGTTCCCTTTCATCAAAGCCCCCATTGCACATACATCTTTTCAGAAACATATTATTGCATAAAACATTGAATTGCCAGCTTCATTGGGCAGACTTTTGAGGTGCTGAACAGTGAGCACTCATTGCTTGAATGTGCTCCTGGGAGACTGAGCAGCTCTTCCTTAGTTTACATGGCTCTAATCAGATTCCTGACATTTTGCAGGAAGAACTTTTTATACTAAGGTATAAAGTCCAGGTTCCTCACCGTGAAATACTAACGTATGTTGCCACCTCCTTGGAAACAGCTAGTCGTAAGGTAACATGCAGCCTTCCCCAGCCCACAGTACATAACTAGCCCGAGCACACACGATTGCACTGGAAATTGACTATTTGTAGAGTATGTATCCGACCTGCTAGCTAGGCTGTAACAGCTTTGTGAGGGTGTGGTGGCGTCGACCCTTTGTGGTACATGAGTGTGGTGCTCTCGCCTGGTGCTCAGAATGTTGGCGTCCATTGACTGAAACCTGCAGAAATAGGCCAGGGATATAGAAGAAGCTGGCTGAGCGGCCATGAATTTTTCATCTGCAAGAAGATCTCAAAAATTTTAATGCCATTTATGGGAATTACTTTGGGCAAAAAAAAATTTGGTACAGAAAAAAGTACTAAACCACAAAAAGTCATCAGGCCATGCTAATTTTATCTGTTGTTATATGCCGTCGAGTTGGACTCGATTCACAGTGACCTCTCCTTGGCTTTCTGAGGCAGTACCCACTACAGAAGTAGATTGCCCAACCTTCCTTCCATGGAGTGGCTGGAGGGTTTGAACCGCCAGCCTTCTGGTTAGCAGTCAAGTGCCTTAGGCCCTATATTACCAGAGCTTACAATTTTACCTAGAATCTTAAAATAACAAAAAGCCTGTGGCAAAATGAAATTTAAGACTGAGATTTCCCTTCAGGCAGGGGTGTGAGCCAAGACTTTGGAAAACTGAAAACAGCACTGCTCGCTTCTGGAGAGCTGTCAGTTCTCTGGTTGCTTTAGTTTGGTTTTTCAGTTTAGAGCTTCGTTTTGGATATTCATGTTCCCTAAGCATGTCTGAGGGGGCAGTGGTGGTCCAGTGGTAGAATTCTCGCCTTCCATGTGGGACACCTGGGTTTGGTTCCCAGCCAATGCCCCTCAAGCACCGCCACTACCCATCTGTCATTGAAGGGTTGCGTGGTGTTAAGATGCTAAATGGTTCTTGGCAGACAAAGACTAGGAAGAAAGGCCTGGCAATCCACTTGTGAAAATCAGATAGTGAAGGTGCTAATGTTGATTATGAGGATGGCACAGGACCAGGCAGTGTGGGGTTGCCATGAATTGGGCCAACCCAACAGCAACTAACACAACAAGTACGTTGAGGCCTATGTTTCAGATCTGACATGCTGTCTTCATCTGGGGGAAGAGGGTCCATGTATTTGTTGGTGTGATGCTGAAATTAGAACTGGTAAGGAGGAGCCCCGAGATAGCAGGGTCAAGGACCTAAGGTTCTGCACTTGGCAACGGTGGCACTGGCTTCCGGAGCAGGGTGAGCCCGGGAGCTGGGAAGGTGCAGGCCAGCCAGTGTTTCTCACTTCAGGGGACTGTGACAACAGCAAGAGAGATGTTACACCTGACATACATACAACATGAAACATTTACCTTACTACACGTGACACTCTATAATCTTTCCAATTCATTTCATTAAAACAAAGTGCTGGTTTGTGACGCCCTGTGGGTGGTCACCTGCAGCTTGAAGACCACTAGACTAGAACCTTGTGTGTCAAGCTGGGCATCGCCTGGGAGCGCGTTAGAAATACAGAATCTCCACCTGTCCCCTCACCTACCACATCCGAATCTGCACATAAGGTGATTCCTATACAGTCTCTTCACGGCGTGAGCAGGCCTGGCCTAGAGCACAGTGTGTCTGGCCTGCTGGGTAGTATCACTCAGGGGAGTCCTTGCCTGCGACAGGGTGACACCAGTGGATGCTGGGAGAGCGGCGCTGGGAGACCTCATCAGCTCTTCGTTTCTTCTGCCCATGTCAGTCAGTCATACTTTTATGCAAGCAACATTTCAGATGTTAAGCCCCTTCTCCAAGGCTAATTTTATATTATGCTAAATCACTTGGTTTTGTTCTCATGCCTTCCTGCTTGCCATCGGCATAATTACAAGGAAATAGAACATCTTTAGAATCAAGTGCACATGCATTCCAAATTCAGAGCCAATTCACTCTAAACACAGGAAGAGACCTGAGGCTTTAATTCAGGGGTTAAACCCAATCCCCAAACACTTTTGGGGACAATGACTGCTTGGGCAGCTGCGTCACTGCTTGAGCGCAAGGAAAAGGGGCTACAGCTTTAGACATATATATATATATGTGTGTGTGTGTGTATATATATATATATATATATATAAACAAGGCTGGAGATTGAGCCTAAACCCCCACCCCGCAGTCCCCAAAGAGGAGACCCAAATCCACGAGCAGCGATTTCAGGGCTGCTGAGAACGTGAGCTGCAGCAAGAGAGCCGAACCCGTGGCCACAGGATGCTGCTGACCCTGGGCCTCCTGCTGCTGCTGTCGCTCCCAGGGGCCGTAACCTCTGCCACCCTGCACCTGGGGGAAAGCATCCCCGGCACAGACAGCGGGGTGAGTGCGGGCCCTGGCACATGCCAGCCCACTTTCTGTTTCATATTTGGCCACATCCCTGGATTCCCAGCATTTCCCTGCCTGTATGTCCACGTGCTGAGTTCATAAATAGGACAGGAGGCAGGGCTGAGCTCTTGTCACGTCCCTGGGGCTTCCCCAGCTACTAGGCTGTCCCGTCAGATTGTGGAAGTTGACTAGAAACCCAAGGAGAGTGTCCGTCTGCAGTGTCATTATGGCAGTCTGCTGCGGGGCCACCAAGACGCTGCCTGCGCGGCCACACCAGCCTCTAGAGTGTCAGTTTATAGACAGCACGTGTCCTCACTGGCCCAGATGAACTGACATCATTACTTTTCCATTGTGAGAATCTGTAACTTCATGAGGTGATTTATTTCTCTCTTTTTCCCATTTTGAAAAAGTTCCAAGAAAGAGTACATAAACTTGACCATTAAAAATGGATTTTTCTCTGAAATTACCAGACGAGTTTCAGACAGGTCATTCATCAGCAGGCTACTCCTCGACGCTTTCTAAGGAATTTGAAAGACTAGACTGTAAGGTAGCAGTAAGGAGAAGAGGACGCACAAAAATGGGGTTAAAGAGAAGTTTTTATTCTGCGCTCCCGGGAGAGGTTTACGGGTCCCCGAGAGGGGCCCGGACGAGGTTCACGGGTCCCCGAGAGGGGCCAGAGAAGTCGCGCTGCCCAGGTGAAAGAAAGGGTTTTTTATAGTGATTTTCTTCCTGGTTCTTAGAGGACCAGAGTGAGAGCAGGGTATGTGTTACAGGGACCAATAAAGTTAAAGTACCCCATTAGCATGGGGGTAGGAAGCAGACTTGAAGCATTTCATTAACATAGTGGGCAGGAAATGGTTGGGGGCTTTCATGACTAAGAGTCAGGTGCTGGGGTCTGGTATGGGTTCTGGTCAGGTGCCTCCTTGCTTGACCAGTTCTTATAATGCCCTCCAGCTCAATCATTCACCTGCCTGGCCAGCCATACTTCTGCCTAACAGACTATAACATCTCAAGGTAGAGTCTCGAAGAGAAATTCATGGACATCCAGGAGTATAACCAAAGATGCGGTGGGGGGCGGGGGGGGGACGACGGGACAACCTAAGAGCCTGATCTGACTCAGAGGGCTTGTTGGTGGCCAGTCACTTGTCAGGGAAAATTAAGTATTTCCTTAACTCTTCTAATGAAGGACTTCAACAAAGGTTCTTTAAGGGCAAAACAAGCTGTTGTGTTTTTGTTTTTTAATTTTCCTTGACTGGGAATTGTCACCTCCCATCTCTCCTCAGAGCATCTTGTTTAAGGTGCCCCCTTCACCTGCTCATCCTTTCCATGGAAACGTGCTTTACTGTTCTGGAGCATCTTACTTCTCAGAACGGGGCAGTTCTGTGTCTCCTAATGCTCCCTCAGCCAGGTTGCTGATTTTCCTTTCTTCTGCCATCTGCTTCTTTTTAAAAGCATCTGCAGGAAGTGGCAGAAATAAAGAAAAATGGCCTTTTGACTTTACTAGCTTGGTGGAACGAGAGGACCTCGCAGGCCCAGGCAGCGCCCTCTGTAGGTGGGGAGGTGGCCAAGCAGCAGGACAGCTCGCCCCCTCAGCAGGCCACGCGCCGAGAGAAAGCTCCTTGTAAGAATTTCTTCTGGAAGACCTTCTCCTCCTGCAAATGAAACTCAACCCTTGATCACTCATGCAGAGAAGTGTAATGATGGCCTGAAATAAAATGAATTAAGCAGCAGTCATGTTTCTTCTTCTTTTTGTTATTATTGTTGTGAAAGTATACATAACAAAACATATCTTGTCTCAACCATTTCTCCACGTCCAACTCAGTAACACTGACTACATTCTTCAAGTTGTGCAATCATTCTCACTGTCCTTTTCCAGGTCATTCCACCACCATCAACATAAACTCACTGCCCCGTGAGCAAAAATGCCCCATCTGCCCTCCCTCCCACCCTTGGTGACCACTAATAATCTTTGGTTTCTATATATTCGCTTATTTCATAGAAGTGAGACTGACTGATCTCAGCATGATGTTCTCAAGGTTCATCCATGTTGTGGCATGCAGCGGGACCTCATTTCTACTTATCTATGGCTGAGTAACACTCGGTTGTGTGTATGTACCTCATTGTATTCATTCATTCGTTGATGGACATTTTGGTGACTTCCACCTTTTAGCAGGGTGAGAAGTGCTGCACTGGATGCTGGTGGGCAGGTTTCTGTTTCCTGTTGCTGTCTTTACTTCCTCTGGGTTCTTCTAGTATAGGATTGTGGGGTCCATTTCCTTACACATGTATCTTCTTTCCTATGTAATCTGAAACATACTTTTAATTTAAACTCCAATAAGGCCCAAAACTGATAGTGTTTTGAGTAATTTGGAGCCCACAGTGAACATTTTTTATTAAAATACATGTAGCTTTACTACTTCTGCACTCAGTGCAGCCACTGGGAAGCTTGGATCTCCCTGTCTGCCTTTGATTTAAAATAGATGAAACTGACCGCCGTCGGGTCCGACTCATAGAGACCCCTCCTTGGGTTTCCGAGGTGGTGTATCTCCGGAAGTAGATTGTCCAGTGTTCCTTCCCAGGAGTGGCTGGTGGGTTTGAACCACCAGCCTTCTGGTTAGCAGTCAAATGCCTTAGGCATTACACCACCAGAGTGCCTTTAAAGTAGCTAAAGGCCATATAATATACCATGGACTGCCAGAAGAACAAACAAATCTGTCTTGGAAGAAGTACAGCCAGAATGCTCTTTAGAAGCAAGAATGGCCAGACTTGGTTTTGTGTACTTTGGTCTTGTCAGGACAGACCAGTCACACTGGAGAACAGGCTTGGTCAGCAAAAAAGAGGAAGACCCTCACTGAGATGGACTGACTCAGTGGCTGCAACAGAGGCTCAAATAGCAGTGATTGTGAGGCTGGCACAGGACCAGGCAGTATCTTGTTCTCTTATACACAGGGTCGCTATGAGTTAGAGCTGACTTGATTGGCGCCTAACAATAAAGGTTACATATTTCAGAATAACATCTCATTTTAGTTTATTTTGATGTAGATTGTCTAATTTAAAAAGTATTTTCCTCACATTAAAAGCAATTTTGTTTTCACATTGTGCTCAAAGAGCAGGATGATTATTGTCCATATTTTAACTAAATTTTAAAACAAATGTTAGGCTATTAGCCAGACACCAGCCTCATGTTGGTGTTTAGAGTAACATTCAAACCTGCTGTTATACAAAAGCCATTCTGACTCCTAACCTCACGTCAATTTGTTACAACTCTTTTCAAGGATCACAGCTTCAAGTGTGCTCTGTGAGGGCTGAAGTCTGCTTATAAAAGTATTGTTGTTCGTTGCAGTCCAGTCCATTCCAACTCAGGGCAATTCCCTATGTGCAGGTAGACTGCCCCATAGGGTTTTCAAGGCTGTGCCCTGGGGAAGCAGATCACCAGGCCTGTCTTCCGAGCCCCCTTTGGGTGGGTTTGAACTGTCAGCCTTTCAGCTCGTACTCAAGCACTGAAGTGTTTGCACCACCCAGGCACTCCTTGTAAGAGTACGATCCCCAGCCAAGCACAACGAGCAGTGCTGCTGCCTTCCCTCAGCCTGCTGACGTCAACTTCCAGTGAAAGTCTGTCCAAAGTAGCCAGACGTCGTTCAGTGATAAATAGGTATGTATTTGTGTGTGCAATTGTCCTGAGTTTCTCCTTTCTTTAGCAATGTTCTCAGAAGTGACAGTGGAGGAGGGCTGAACAAAGGGGATATGTTTCCCTGACCGTGATGTCACACAGAGCCAACTGCCAGACTCCACAGCCAACGGGACCTTGTCTGCTCAGATGAAGTTAGGTCTAAAAAACAGGTCTCTCAATTTCAGAACCTTCTCAAACTTTCTCTCCCATAGCCTGGAATTGTGTTTGATGTCTCAATGTCGTTTGTGACTCTGAGTTGTAGACTCTAAAGGAAATTGCCAGTGTGAACATTTTCACATGTGAAACTTTAAAGCTCAGTTTAAAAATTCATAATAATTTAAGCTAAAATTCATTCCTGGAGTGATAGAAAGGTAGAGGCCAAATGTTGGAAAAATGGGCAGAGGCTGGCAGAATACACTGTCATACCCCTCTCTTCTCTGGACACCAGGGGAGCAAACTTAGAGCAGGATTGCTGACCCATTCTCTTCTGTCTTCCACAGAGCTGAGCTCATATTCATAATTACTAGCTGAATAAAGTATAATGTGAGGGAAGAGCCTTAATAGCGTGCACATTTCCAAACATAGCAGCTTTAGGAGACCAGTAATTGGGTCAGTGCACTGGTGGAAGAGGCCTGCCTGAGAGGCCGGCTAACCTTTAGAACTTTATCTTCAAGGTTTTTCTAGATTAAAAACTGTACTTTGTTTTTCAGCCTAAATTGGGGCTGTATATGTAGAATGTTTAAGTGTTTAAGAGTGGGGAGGGATTAATTTCGGGCTAGTTGGGGCCCACACACTGACATGGTGGGGGGAGGGATATAAGAGAAGGATCTATGACCACCATGGTAACATTAGGAAATGGAAGGACACCGAATTGTACACATAAGAGATAGACGACAGATGCTAATACCAGCCAATGTGTCCACAATACTGCATTGCCATTAACACCAAACACTAGGCTATACTGATAAACACATACGCACCTGAGAGGATCAGACGGGGGTCAGTGAACAGAAGTATACTCTAGACCAAGGATAGATTCAGCTGAGGCTAATCATGCATAGACACCAGTGATACAAAATACCAGCATTCCTTACAGAAACAATAGAAAACAGACACAGAGTAATCCCTCACAGACACCCAGACACTATGGGAGAGAGATCCAATAGATCTACTGTCTCAGGACCATAGGAAAAAAAAAAAAAAAAAAGAGTGGGAATTTTAACTTTCAGCTGAGTAATATCTGAAGGATAATGAGGCTGGTAATATAGTAATAATCGCAGCTGCTGCCGATTCTGACTCATGGTGACCCCAGGTGAGTCTGAGTAGAACTGTGCTCCGTAGGCTTTTCGATGGCTGTCGATTGCCAGGTCTTTCTTCTGAGGCACCACTAGGTGCACTTGAACTGCCAATCTGGAGGTCAGCAGTGAGCTCGCTAACTGCACCACCAAAGGATCCCATAGTAATAATACTGCCTGCCTTAGTTCAAGGAGCTCTGGTAGCATAGTGCCTTAGGCACTTGACTACTAACCAGAAGCCTGGCCTTTCAAACCCACCAGCCACTCCTCGGAAGGAAGACGGGGCAATCTACTTCCCTAATGATACCACCTCAGAAACCCAAGGAGGGGTCGCTATGAATCAGGTGTGACTCAACGGCACATAACAGCAGCAGCCTTAGTTCAGGAAGGAGCTCTGGGGTGCAGTGCGTAAGGCATTTGACTGCTAACCAGAGGTTGGTGGTTTAAACTCACCAGCTACTCTGCCGGGGGGAAGATGAGGCAATCTACTTCCGTAAAGATTTACTGCCTTGAAAATCCAGTGGGGGTCACTGTGAGTTAAAATCGACTCGATGGCAGTGGGTTTGGTTTTGGGTTTGATCTTAGTTCAGGGGATTTGACAGCACTGGCTGTGTTAGATCAATATGTTTATGACTAACAAATTAGGGTAAAATGGTAATCTCCTACCATCAAGTTTTTGGTAGACTTAAAGTATAGATTTAGTAGTTTAATATAGTCAACTGGGCCACCAGGACCTTCACAACTTGGAGTTCATTCTCTTGCTATTATTTCCAGTATTTGGCACCAGCGTAGATCCTGAACCACTGCAAAAGACCTGAGTGTGCCCCTGGGGATCAACTTCCAGCCAAACAACAGGCCTATAAAGTGAACAATAACAGGGAGGAATGTGCTTCTCAGGACAATGAACCCCATGAGACCAAAAGGGCAGCACCTGCCCCCCTAAAAAGCTCAGAAGGCAGGAAGGGGCAGGGAATGAGGAAGAATGGAAATGGGGTACCCAGGGAGGAGGTGGGAAGAGTGCTGTTACATTGAGGGAACTGCAACGGAAACAAAACATTAACAAAGTGTGCATAACGTGAGTTGAATGAAAAGTGAGTATACTCCATACACTTTCACCCAAACAACAAAAAAAAATTAAAAAAAAAAGTATGACCTCAGCACTGACAGCAACTTATTCACAGAGTATCTTGGGGCTGACAGCAAAACATTCCAGGCTTTAGGACAGACACTTGGACCAGCTCACAGGACATCATTAAACATTTGATTTAAGCAGCACCTGAAGGGATAACCCACATTTTAATAACGGTAGCTTGTGGATCCTATCTGAAACAAATCAGCAAAGGAAAACTCTTTTATATTAACAAGAAGACATCTTCTGTTTCTAGAATAGAAAGGAAGAGAAAAAGAGCTGGGCAGCCCGCTATTTCTAGCTTCTCATTAACAACAACAAAGGGTTGTTGTTGCCCCCTGTCACAGTGCCCCCATGTGTCCAGAACTGTCCTCCTTCGGGTTCTCAATGGCTGACTTATTTTTGACAGTAGATCACCTGGCCTTTCTTCCAAGGTGCCTGTGGGTGGCCTCGGGCCTCCCATCTTTTTGTCAGCAGGCACACACATTAACCATCTGCACCGCTGGAAAACTGGTTTTAGCTTCTCATACACCTAATGAAAACATTTATTAACTTTCTGTTTTGCTTA